CACCCTTGGGCACGAAGGCATTGGCAAGGGAGGTCCGTGCAGTAGACCTTCGACAGACTCCACTTCCACCCCGTGAAGCAGACAGCCTGCACCTGCCCTTGTACTTCTTGTTTTCGTTTAGCCTGGGCAACTGCAGAGTCTGCCTTAGCAACATTTGTCCGTGAAGCTAAACTTTCCTTCAGGGTGTGCACCTATTTAAATGGGTGCTTTCCCAGGTTCATATCCACTGGCCGAGAAAAAGCTCTGCCAAGATCTCTTCTCTGTGGTGACCAGTGATAGGACTAGGGGAAATGTCAGGAAGATGTGCCAGGGGAGGTTTAGGTTGGACATTAGGAAAAGGTTCTTCACCCAGAGGGTGGTGGAGCACTGGAACAGGCTCCCCAGAGAGGTAGCCATGGCACCAAGCCTGACAATATTCAAGAAGCATTTGGACAAGCCCCTCAGACACATGGTCTGAATCTTGTGATTGTCCTGTGCAGGGACAGGAGTTGGACTTGATGATCCTTGTGGGTCCCTTCCAACTTACAACATTCTATGATTCTATGATTCTATGATAAGACCTCCCCGTTGGGAGTAATCTCCACTCTTGGCCACTGAGACTCTTTCTTAGGAAAGTGGGGTTCTGACACCAGATTTACCAACCTGCCCTTTGAAGACTAAACCAGAATGTTGTCTCAGCCCTTGTCCAGAGAAAGGATGCTCTCCTCAGCAGCCCCATATCCTGAGTCAGGCACAGCTGCAGCCCCTGACCGTAGAAGAGTTCAGACCCTCCTCCCTCAGCATCCCAAGAAATGTATGGTGGTGGGGTCATGGTGTGGTGCTCACTGCAGTGGAAAGACATAGATGCTCAGTAGATACTGCAGAATGAGTATTTCTTAGGAGCCCAAAGGAGTTTCCGTCTCTCCGACACAAACCCTTTGGAAGTGCCTTCTAGCTGCAGCCAAGGCTGTTAAGTACCAGTAAAGCTTAAAACAGCAACAGAGAAAGGTGAATCATCTCTGTTAAATCCTTTACTTTGCTTCTCTTTGATGCCTACAAATAACTAACCAAGTAATTACATCAGGTCAAAGTGCAGCTAGGTATAGCTGAAGGGCATTTATAAATGAGAATTCAAATATATTGTATTAAAAACAATACCTATTCTAGACATATTTACATTTCCTATGGTACTTTTCACCGTACACTATAAACAATCTGTGTCATGGACCATATCTTCAGTTACATTTGTAGACTATCTTACAAATGAGGCCCACATATGGTCTTTGGATACTATTCCACTAGACATAGTGCTAGCAGCCAATTTATTCCTTGTCAGTATTGTCTCATTCAAAATCCCTGTAGTAATCCATTAGGTCTGTGACACAGTATAGGCTGTAAAGCTTGTTCTATCTTTCAAGTTAAAAATCTCTTTCTCTCATTATGTATGACAATAATTCAGGAAGGAGTACTCATGTAGTATTTGTATAAGCTTTTATAAAAAGTTATGTTTCCAATTAAAAAAGTCAACATTAGGCTGACAGTCTAAATACCCTTGTTACAAATGTAGCCTTCCTTTTTTTCTTTCTTGAAAGCACACACAGAGTCTCCATTACTACTGGAAAGTATCTTCATGAAGAGGAGAGCAAACTTTTAAGTTCATTTAGTACATTCCTTAAAGGAATGGTAAAATATACAGAACACTTAAACTCTGCTGAAATACACCATTTCTATTTGTTTTAAATGATAATCAGGCATAAATTTAAAACATGCATAGACACTGACTGCAACAATTTCTAAATTCCAAATGCAAAACCCAAATCAAGTTCTGTTTTTCATCAGTGCTGTGCAACACTGTTAACTTTGCAGATATTGTATTTGAGCAAATGAAGGCAGAATATGACCTACAGATCATCTTTCCATTCATATGAAACTTCTTTAATCCTTCTGCTGAACATGAGCTGTTCAGTAGAGAAATATTATTATTGAATATGGTTTAAACAACTATCCAGCACTTTTGGTGTAATTAATATTACATACATTATGCCTAAAAGTATGCAATCTATACTTTCAACTCAATTTGCCAAGTATAAATTCAGAGCTGGATACAACACAACAGGCTGTAAAACCCATCCAATAGCTTAAAGCAATAATATATTCACAGGTATTGCTCTCCAATTTATCAAGCAGGCAGAATAGGTGCTTTGCCAATACTGGTGACTACAGCATGCCAAGCTACCAGAAGCAATGTGTTGTATAATCACCAATAACATGTGCCTAGTTTCAATCTAACAGTTCTCCATTTTTGTGATCTACTGTATATTAATCACCCTGATGTTTCCTTATTGCCTGTCACTGATATGAAACAAAGCAACATTTGTGTCCGTGTTTATGTAAAGGTAGAAGTAAACCAGGTTCAGGAGTTCTTCAACATTGAAACTTTCTGTCCCACTGAATCCCTTCTAACTGGCTTCCTGTGGGACAACAGATATTAATCCAGAGAGAAAGTAATAGCCAATTAATTAAATATAAATTCTCTAAAGTTATGATCATACAGAAAGGAATCTATATTAACTTTCCTAATGCATCTTAATACCTATCACACATTTCTGGATGCATAATTTACTCATGTGTGTTTTAATTATGTGAGAAAAAAACCATGTTATGTTACCCTCAGATATTAAAAGCAATTAAAAATAAATCAGGAGTCTTATTTTAGCTGACAATTTTTTAAATCATCTTGACTATGCTCTATTTGAATATGTGCTGCAGAAATTATATATAACTGCTAATAAGTACACAGTTGCATAAATGAGACAAAAGGAACTACCTGACACAAGATGTCTTGTTATGGTTCATAAATAAAAAAATACCAAAACTCTGGACATGCCTGAAGGAGGCAAATTGAATGTCAAATATGCAGTTTCAGTGCAGTGAAGACTACGGAGTAATCTAATAAACTGATATTTAAAAAGTTTAAATATTGGCAGACACGTCCAACAAAATTTTTAATGCACAAGTTCAAAAACTGAATTCTTCAATAAAGCCAAGTAACTGGAAAGGTTTAACCGATGAAATGCTCAGGTATTAGTTTTATGTAGGAAAGCTCATTAAGAATGTTCATAATCTTAAGCAATTAATTGGAATGAGCATGGTAGCTTGGGTTGTTTGTCTGAGGCCAATTAGCATGTCAGAGCAAACTCTCTAAATGGTTTTATAAAGAAGATGTCAGACATCCTCATAGGTACAAATAATCATGCTCATCCTTGATGCAAATTCCCTGCAGTAAGCACAAACCACACCACTGATTAGTTTGGCACTTGACTTTTCTGGACAGGCTCTATGTCAGTAGAGTCTTTCCAGAGAAAGAATAATATGTGACAACATTTGGTCTTTTTTTCCTGGCAAATTTGCAGACAGTGAAAGTACAAGGGAATGACATCTCCCACAAGCTGCAGATTTCGAAAGTGAGGAAAAAGGATGAAGGCTTGTATGAGTGCAGGGTGACCGATGCCAACTATGGAGACCTTCAGGAATACAAGGCCCAGGCATTTCTCAAAGTCAATGCTAACAGCCACTCTCGACGAATGCAAGCCTTTGAGGCATCTCCAATGTGGTTGCAAGACATGAAACCTCGCAAAAACATCTCAGCAGCTGTTCCAAGTAGCATCCATAACTCTGCCAATCAGCGTGTGCGTGCCACTTCCAGCCCTGAAGCAGCAGCCAAAATCTCCAAACAAAGTCCACAATCAGGTATGGTAAAGCATTTTGAGCTTTCATTTGATTGCTTAACAGCATGTAAAAGGAGGCTAACGCAACCAGGTAACCAGGAATTGTGACTAGGAAGAGTGTGGTGCTTCTTTATTCCTCCTTCTTTCTGGCTTGATTCCTTCTGCTATCTCTTTACTTCCTAAAAGCTGAAGAAAAAGTTTCTGGGCAGAAGAAGCAAAAAGCCTTAAATTCAGATACACGGATTTTATCTACCTATGGTTAGCTCTCTAATTAAAGCTTAGCTTTCCCTGTAGTGTGCATCGAGAGAGAGGGGCATGTGAGTGAATGACTCATCTCATTTTAAGATGGCTGTGCATGATAAATAAAATAAAACACCAATCCAGAAGTGTTTCTCCCTAAGTTAATTTACACCACTCACCTAACTTTTATATCTCTAACATTTGGTGAAATTAATATAATTTTAGTGTCAATCCTACTCTCACAATGGAACTTGACTTCTAAATCTAAGTAGACCTTAGATACACTGGATTGTTTCTCCTTTATGTAGGCTTTAGAAAGACCACGTGTTTGTCAGAGAATGAGTTTGTCATCTTCAGCTGCTTGACCGTTGGCTTTGAATCAAACTAAAATGGCAATGCCTCAATTGTCTGTCACATAGAAATTAACATGGTACATTTTGTTTGGGAGATTTTGTGTAGTATTGTATAAATAACCTCTAAGCAATATAAGACTGCATTTTCTACACTGATACAGTAAAATTCACAGTTTTTCAAAGATGTATGAATATACAGGATGTGCAGCTGTTGACCACTGTATGATGGCAATAGACAGATGGACAGGATAAAAAATTGAGACATTGTAAATTATCAAAAATACTCTGGAAAACAAACTATGAAAGTTTTAAGGGTTTCTGGGTTACTCCTGCTTACACTGAGGGCCCAGTGCAAGGCAGAAGATTACAACCTAGCTTAAAATATGCAATGGAAGCTAACCTAGTCTGTTGTGATGCATCATTTTTCTGCCATATCACCAAAACTGGGAATACAACATATTTCATAACACACTTGTTGTGAAATCACTTTTATCTTACAGGTTTACTATTAGAAAAACGTTTTGATGAGGAATATACATTTCATTACAGATTGGAACAATGTGATTATTCATATGAAAATTCTTATTGCTATTAGAAAAGATGATGCACATACTACTACCATATTACCTCTGTATATATATTTTAAAATTTATTTAAAACTTACATTCAGCTCTCTTTCCATGAAATGGAACCACTTTCATTTTTTAACTTTTCCGAAAAATGTTTAACCTGTTAGAAGAAAAGAAATATTTCAACTGATTTAAAATCATCATTCTACCATGGGTTTCCTTTCAAAGAAGTGTTTATACCACTTATTTTCCATTGGACTAGTACATTCCAAAGTAGAAAACTTGTTCATAAAGTGCAAATTCATCTGTTTTCTGTTTAGTGCTGTGTGAAATTAATTAAAATAGTCTCAAGTTTATGAGTATGTAGTTACAGACTACATCTGATTGTGGCAAAAGTGTGCACACAACAGCTAATCCACTAAATCACTTTGGCTATATAACTGCATGTATGATACTGTTTATGTCTTTAGTCCAAGCAATATCTTGCCTGATTACTGGACATTTGTTTTTTGCGAGTTAGTAGCTTATTACATGGAAAGTTCCTTGTAAAAAAAAAAAACAAACAAAAAACAAACAAACAAACAAAAGCAGAAAAAAAAAGAAAAACTTAAAAAACTTAAATCTCTATTTTTTTCTTTGGGCTAAGATTACTGTAGATCAGCTAAGATTACTGTAGATTAAGTACAGACAATCCCAATCATAAATAATTTTAAAATTAAACAGAATAAAATATAATTTAGTTTATGAATTCATTTGTTTTATGATGAAGCACAGATTAATCCTGTATTCATCAGAGGTGAAACGCATCTACTAAAGGAACAAAAAGTGTACCAAGAATCCATATTGGACTTAGTACCAATTTAGCCATCACTTGCTACACAGTAATTACTGGTGATATTTTTGATGAATACCAGTTTAACTCTTGAGAACTAAGATTTACTTTCCTTTACTCAAGAAAATATATGCCTTATTTTCTAGCTATAATGTGATTTGTATTTTCACTCCATTTTACACTCACCCTACACCAATAGAAATACCCACAGAAGCAAAAGGCAGTGAAGATTTTTAGCTCTATGTAACTTTGAGTAGCAACTTTAGCTGAGGAAGGAGAGACATCAGTTGCGAGACCTCAGAAAAGCAGAAAGGAGGTGTCATAGTAATTTTCTTTTTATGGCATTGAATCAATACAACCTCCTCATACTGTCAAATGAGAAACTCTTTTTCAATGTCATGCTGACTACATAGGTATGCACAAGACTTAGAATCATAGAATCATAGAATCATAGAATGGCTAGGGTTGGAAGGGACCTTAAAGATCATCTAGTTCCACTTCTGTGTGACTACATTACATGTAAGCAATGTATCCATCCAGTCTAGAACACAGAAAAAGGATTGAATACAAATTTATCATCATTAACCACGTTTATATTTGAAAGACATAGGGGGTGATTGTGATGTGTCTGTTCATGTTGAGTAATACATTGACTTCAGCAACACTGTTCAGAGAGAAGTATTATTAACCACAGGTAACTGTATCAAATATTCTTCAATATTAGAGAACTGGTGCATAGTTATTGGCAAGCAATTTACTGCCATGCTCACAGACTATTGCAAAATACATTCTCAGCAGAGGGAAACATGACACTGTGAAATTATTGGGAAATCTGTATTCAGCTGTTTCTGAAGAACTCAACTACTAGTACAAGAAAGATTAACTCTGATTATATGAATATTTTGTCCCCAAAATTTATTTTTGAAAGGTAGATAACACTCTACTTAACTCCTTCGATCCCAAAGCACACTGCAGAATTTAATTTATTTCTCAAAAATAGATATTTAATAAGTAGATCTGGAAAAGCCGTTTACAATCACTACCATTTTAAAATATCAGCATTTCCCAACTGAACAGATATTTCTACCATTCTCCTCTTTTATTCAAAAGTAAGAATATCTGTGATAACTATAAGGAAGCTATATAGTAAGGACTGACAAATTAAAATTATATGAGGTCCATTCAGCATTTTGTGTTGCTTTGAAAAATACTATGTGATTGTAAAAAATGTATTTGTTATTGTTAGGGTAATGGAGATTCAATATAGGAGAAAAGAATTAAAGAGAACGTCTCTCACATATAGTCTTCAGATGATATACTGAGAAGCACTAAATGTCTACCTCAAAGTCAAAACAGTCAGGAAAGCAGAAGTCAAAGCTAACACAGCTTGACCCTTTCATTTTGTGTTCATAGGCTGCAGCAAATTAAATAAACCATCACAGCTTAACAGGAATCCGAGTAATTTGACAGGCTAATCTGCATATATCCAGAAAATGTCCTATGTAGGTGGAGTGGCAGACTTTTTTTTTTTTTTTTTCCTGTATAATTCATAACGACGTATCTTAGTCCAAAGGTAAAAGTACAGAGTTATCACAGAGCCTCGTAACTCTAAGCAGTGTTTTAACTGTGATTAACTGAGGTCCAAGAACTGCAATGAATTCAGGTAAAGGGAAGCTAAGTAATCTACAGGATGCACCAAATCTCACTGTTTCATGCATATAAATCTGGACAAACTCTGTTACCTTCATTCAAGGTACTCAACATTTATAGCAACACAAAGGGCTGCAGAATTTGATGTGCTGAGAATGTGTATAGCCCCCAAATTATTCCTGTTCTGCCAATGCTCTGTTAAAGCACTCAAAGCCATTAGTTGCTTTTCAGACTCAAGAAGATCAGGCTCAGAGAACTCAAGAGGGAATAGCTACAAATGAAGAAGTGGCATTAGGTCCATTTTCTGACTACTTACATACAGACTCTGCACATATCTAGCAACTTTTTGCTCTTTCCTGAAGTAATAAATTCAACTAGTGATCTAACTACATGCCAAAACTGTTCCTGCAATGATGGCAGAGTTGCAGTGAGTGATTTGAAGGGGGGCACAAAAATGAAGATGGTCCTTACCAAAGACAAAAAGACCGGGATTCTTGGCATCATAAATCACACCGAAAAGCTGATTGTCAAATGTGAATGCAAAAGAAGATGATGAAAACATATTTCTTCAGTCTGTTGGCACTGATAAACCTATTACATTCTTTCCAGCCTCCATTTTTTTCTACAGAATCCAAGAATCTTTTATTATCGGCCTATTGTAAGCACAAATTTTATGTCCAATTTGGAATCTTCTAGGATATAAACCAACTTCAGTGGGGGTTTTTTTTGTTTGTTTTGCTTCTGGTTTTTGTTTGTTTGATTGATTTTTTTAATGTTATACCTCCTCTTCAAGTGAAGGGGCAAAAAGTCTGCTCTAGCCTTCACCAAGGTGGCAGCCAACATTTCGGCTTTCTTCACTAAGATAAAGACTTTGGCTTTTACAGCTGCTCTCTTAAAAACTGTGAGTATCCATTATGTTAGGAGGCACCAACTGTTACTGTGATTGCTGCACAGCAAAAAGTCAAGTCTCTCTTTCCTTAGGACTACACTAAAGCCAAAGTCAAATAAGAGTTTTGTTCTTGTTCTGAATCTCATTCATCTTTTTTCAGAAATTCTTGCAAAAAGATGATGTAGGGTCTATCCCATTTTACACCTGTATACACTACAATCTCTGGTTTTATTTGAAACTTACAAATGTGTTCTCTCTTCCTCAAATGCAGCCACACTACTTTTTTAGCTTCTCTGAAACAATGGAATAAATTCTAAGGACGTTAATGGATGTAGCCCTATTAGCCAGTCAGTTGTTGACCTTGAAACTGTAAGCATCTTCTGAGAAATGCTAATCTGCTCCAAAAAACTTCATTGACAAAGCAAGGTCTTAGCAGCAGCTAAACCTCCTTTTTTTTAGGCCAGGATTTCCAATGCAGAATGAACTCCC